AGCAGCAGCAGCAGCAGCAGCAGCAGCAGCAGCAGCAGCAGCAGCAGCAGCAGCAGCAGCAGCAGCAGCAGCAGCAGCAGCAGCTACCTGGCACATAGGGCTGCGCAATAAAGCCCATAGTCATTCCCACAGAGTCAAGAAAGCCCACGAGCAGCAGCAGCAAATAGTGCTGCTGCAGCAGCAGACGCAGCTGCGCCCATTTGACTCCTTTGAAAAGCAGCAGCAAACCCTACTCACAAACCACACGCCCTAAACCCTAAACCCTAAACCCTAAACCCTAAACCCTAAACCCTAAACCCTAAACCCTAAACCCTAGAGTCCTACAGCTGCCCGCCGCGAACCAAGAAGCCCCCTAGCCCCCCACAGGCCCTTGCAGAAACCCCTCGGAGCCCACGCGCCGGGCTCAGAGCCTAGGGTTTAGGGTTTAGGGTTTAGGGTTTAGGGTTTAGGGTTTAGGGTTACGAGGGCTAGGCTGTAGGCTGCTGCATGCAGCCCCGAATTCATAAGACAAGCCAGAGGGTCAAAACCCCCCAAAGCCACAGCGCGGATTCTTCCGCTGATTTCGTTGAAGCTGCCGCAGACAATAACTGCTGCTGCTGCCAGCAGCACGCGCCTGCTGCTGCTGCTGCTGCTGCTGCTGCTGCTGCTGCTGCTGCTGCTGCTGCGGGGGGGGAGGGGGGGGCTGCCCTGCGCGCTGAGCCGCCTGCGGCTGCTGCTGCTGCTCACCACGCTCAGCCGCCCGCTGCTGAGGCTGCTGCTGCTCCTGCTGGGCGGCCTGCTGCTGCTGCTGCTGCTGCTGCTGCTGGGGTGTCGGCTGCTGCTGCCGCTGCTGCTGCCGCTGCTGCTGCTCGGGCCACGAAGCAGCTGCACCTCTCGGCTGCTCCTGCGATTCCCTGGAGCATTCGCAACATTTGGGGCTTGGGCTGCTTTGCTGCTGCTGCTGCTGCTGCTGCTGCTGTTGCTGCTGCTGCTGCTGCTGCTCTTGTTGTTGCTGCCTCTGCTGCTGCTGCGGCGGCAGTGACTGCTGCTGCGCTCAGTACTGAGGCCACTGCTCCTGTTGCTGCTGTTGTTGCTGCGATTTTGGCGGCCGCTTCTGCCGCCGCTGCTGCAGCCGCCGCTCTTGCTGCTGCTGCTGCTGCTGCTGCTGCTGCTGTTGCTGCTGTAGCGCAGGGAAGCCATCAGTTTAGCGAGGCGTAAAGCCCATTGCGGTGTACAGACATCTCTCCCTTAGTCAAAAAATGTCATTGACTGAACCTGCGGCGCTTTTATAAGTGCTCGCTGCAGCAGCAGCAGCAGCAGCAGCAGCAGCTTGCTGCTGCTGCTGCTGCTGCTCCGAGACGGGGGGCCCCAGCAGCAGCCGTGGGGGGGCGCCCCCAGGGCCTTTGCGCTCAAGGTGTAAAACAAAAAGACTAAAATTGAAATTAAAACAAAAAATTTAATAAAATAAAAGTAGAGCAGCAGGTTGCGCTGGGCTGCTGCTGCTGCCGCTGCTGCTGCTGCTGCCGCTGCTGCAGCAGCAGCAGCTTCGCTGCAGCAGCAGCAGCAGCAGCAGCCTCAACATGGCAATGCGCGGAAGCCCCCGCTGCAGCTGAAAGCCGCAGCGACGGGCATGAACAGCAAGCAGCACACGGGCGAGCGGCAGCCACTGCTGCTGCTGCTGCTGCTGCTGCTGCTGCAGGGGCCCCCCAGCGTCGCAGCAGCAGCAGCAAGTTGCTTCCTCCAGCCCGCCGGTTTCAATGTGGGGTCGGCAGCAGCAGCAGCAGCAACAGCAACAATAACAACAGCAGCAACAGCAGCAGCACGAGCAGCCAGTGCTGCTGCTGCTGCTGCTGCTCGTCCCCCGCCCAGTGGAGCCAACAGCCGCAGCTGCGTGCCTCCCCTAGCAGCAACAGCAGCAGCAGCAGCAGCAGCAGCAGCAGCAGCAGCAGCAGCAGACTTGCTGAACAACGCCGAGTGGGAGCAGCAGCTGCGGCTGTTTGGAATTGCTGCTGCTGATGTTGCTGAGTCTGTAGTCCGCGGCAGCGGGCCCGGCGGCAGCAAAATAAACAGCAGCAGCAACTGCTGCTGCCTCCGCTGCAGCAAACTGAAGCTGCAGGTCAGGTGCCACACGTACAGGTAAGCTGCTGCTGCTGCTGCTGCTGCTGCAGCTGCTGCTGCTGCAGCTGCTGCTGCTGCAGCTGCTGCTGCTGCAGCTGCTGCTGCTGCAGCTGCTGCTGCTGCAGCAGCTGCTGCTGCTGCCGTTTGTTGCTGCTGCCGCTGCTGCTGCTGGCGCGTGTTGCTGCTGCTGCGGTTTGCTGCGCTGCTGCAGCAGACCAAGCTGCTTCTGCTGCCTGCCGCAGCTACTGTTGCTGCTGCCATTGCTTCTGCTGCCGCTGCAGCAGCAGCAGCAGCAAACTATACTTTTGCTGCTGCTCCTGCTGCCCCCACAGGCCTCTCTCCGACAACCGCCGAGAGGCCAGGCGACGTTTCTTGCTGCTGCTGCAGCGGAAGCAGCAGCAGCAGCAGCAAGAGCAAGAGCAGCAGCTCCAGGTAACCACTGCTGCTGCTGCTGCTGCTGCTGCTGCTGCTGCGGCTGCTGCCGCGCGTCTTCGCCTCTGTTGCTGCTTGGGCCGTGTACTCCAGAGCTGCTGCTGCCGCTGCTGCTGCATAGATCCCAGTGAGACATTGCTGCTGCTGCTGCTGCTGCTGCTGCTGCTGCTTGCTGCTGCTTCTGGGGTGCATGCGCAGCTGCAGCTGCGGCAGCAGCGGAGGCCGACGGAGCAGCAGCAGCAGCGAGTGAGGGCATGGAAAGCAGCAAGAAAGAAAATAAAGCAGCAGCGGCAGCAGAAGCCCTCTTTGCTAGACTAGCTGCTGCTGCTGCTGCTGCTGCTGCTGCTGCTGCTGCTGCTGCTGCTGCTGCTGCAGTGCTGCAGAGTAGATGCTCGGGTATTGCTGCTGCAGCAGCGGCCGCCAGGAGCTGCGGCGCAGCAAAAAGGCTAAGTCAACACCAACAGAAGCAATTGCTGCTGCTGCTGCTTGCTCCCGCAGTGCTGCTGCCAGGCTGTTGCTGCTGCTGCTGCTGCTGCTGCTGCTGCTGCTGCTGCTGGCTGAAGCAGCGAAGTGATGTGGGAGCAGCAGCAGTGGCTGCTGCTGCTGCAGGTGCAGCAGCCGAAGACGCCTGCGCAGCAGCAACAATAACAGCAGCAACTGCAGCAAATAAGCGTGGCTTTCGGAGGCAAGAAGCAGACAAGGCTAGGGTTTAGGGTTTAGGGTTTAGGGTTTAGGGTTTAGGGTTTAGACTTACAGGGCCATCTTTGCCCGCAGGCGAGTCGGGTGGTTTAAGAAGACGTCTCTGATAGAACACAAAACCCTAAACCCTAAACCCTAATCCGTACCCGCCTGTTTAGGGTTTAGGGTTTTGTGCCCTAAACCCTAAACACCAGTCAGCGGTGGCCCCGTGCGAGTAAAGGGTTTCGGGTTTAGGGTTTAGGGTTTAGGGTTTAAAGCTGGCGCGTAGGGTCCAGGAACTGCGGCTCTCTCGCGAGGGTTTAGGGTTTAGGGTTTAGGGTTTAGGGTTTAGGGTTTACCTTTGAGTAGCGACTTCGACGCACATGCCGCAGCCCTTGAGGGCCAAAGGAGCAGACAAGCCAAACCCTAAACCACAAACCCTAAACCCTAAACCCTAGCGGTCTAGATCACATTAGTTGGGAAGCAGCAACTCCAAGTCCGGCCTCAAGCTGCAGGGCTAGGGTTTAGGGTTTAGGGTTTAGGGTTTAGGGTTTACGGAGGGTTTGCTGGGAGAAGCTTTTGGGGCCGTCAAGGCGCAGCGCCGCTACCTGCAGTAAACCCCAAACCCCAAACCCTAAACCCTAAACCCTAAACCCTAAGTTGAAGGCGTAGGGTTTAGGCATGGCAGCAGTAGAGAAAGGGTTTAGGGTTTAGGGTTTAGGGTTTAGCTGACGATGGCGTCAAGGTGTTCCTTATCTAGCGGGTGCTGCTGCGTGTTCCCTGCTGCTTCCTGCTGCTGCTGCTGCTGCTGCTGCTGCTGCTGCTGGTCTAGCGACTGAAGGAACTGCTGCAGTGGATTCTCCTTTGCCGCTGCTGCTGTCTCGGCTGCTGCTGCTGCTGCTGCTGCTGCTGCTGCTGCTGCTTCCGGCAGCAGCCACGAGGGCCCCCCCCCGAGCTGCAGCAGCGCCAGCGACCACTGAAGGCACTCCAAGTCTGCAGCAAACCCTAAACCCTAAACCCTAAACCCTAATTTTGAGTCAAAACCCTCGCGTTCACAGCTGTGAGCCCTCGAGGGCCTACAAACCCTAGGGTTTAGGGTTTAGGGTCAAGAGTGAAGCGCAGAGGTAGGGTTTAGGGTTTAGGGTTTAGAGTTTAGGGTTTAGGGTTTACCCGCTGGGCTCTGGGCGCAGTCTTTCGACAGCAGCAGCAGCCGCTGCAGCAAAAGGTTGGCTCTCTGCTGCCACTGTGGCGCCTGCTGCTGCTGCTGCTGCTGCTGCTGTTGCTGCTGCTGCTGACGGTCACACAGCAGCAAGTGTAGGGCAGCAGCAGCAGCAGCTCGGGCTGGTTCTTCTGCTGCTCCTCTCCAGCAGCAACTTAGGCTGCCGCTGCTGTTGGTGCTGCTGCTGCTGCTGCTGCTGCTGCTGCTGCTGGCGAACTGCTCCAGATACTGCAGCAGCAGCAGCACGAGCGCGTCGAACTGCTGCTGCGGCAGCAGCCCCACATCTGCTTCAGCCAGCAGCTGCAGCAGCAGGAAGCTGGACGTGCACCTCTGCTGCTGCTCTTCCGCCTGCAGCAGCAGCAGCGGCAGCCGCTGCAGCAGCAGCAGCAGCTTCGCAGTAGGCAGCCAGCGCGAGTGCAGCAGCTGCTGCAGCAGCAGCAGCACTGCAGCAACGCCTTCCGCATCCCTAATCATGCTGGGTTCGCCGGCTGCTGCTGCTGCCGTTGCTGCAGCACTTGCTGCTGTAGCTTGTGGAGCAGCAGCAGCAGCTGCTGCTGCTGCAGCAGCAGCAGCTGCTGCTGCTGCTGCAGGAACGCCACAGCAAGCGACCCGCAGCAGCAGATCGACGGCTGCGCACTCCGTTTGCTGCCACTCTGCTGCAGCAGCTCGCTGCACCGTTGCAGCTGCCTTGGGGTCTGCTGCTGCTGCTGCTGCTGCTGCTGCTGCTGTCTTGGAGTCTGCTGCTGATGTTGTTGTTGCTGCTGCTGCTGCTAAAGCGCCCGACAGCGAACGTAAAAGCCCTGCTGCTTCTTGCTGCAGCTGCGGCCCTGAATAACTGCTGCTGCATCGCGCTTGCTGCTGCTGTTTCTGCTGCTGCTGCTGCTGCTGCTGCTGTTGTTGCTGCTGAAGAAGGCCCCTTACTGTGGCAAAGGCATCCCCTATATCTTCCAGCGTCACGTTGTCTGCTGCTGTTGCTGCTGCTGCCGTTGCTGCTACTACTCCTGCTGCGGTAGCTTCCGGTGCTGCTCCTGCTGCTGCTTCTGCTGCCGCTGCCATAGCCTCTTTTGCTGCTGCTGCTGCTGCTTTTAGCGCATTGGCTGCAGGCTTGCCCGGTGCAGCAGCAAAAGAGCTCAGCTGTGCCGCTGCTGGCCGGATTGCTGCAGGCGCAGCAGCAGCAGCAGCAGCAGCAGCAGCGGCAGCAGCAGCAGCAGCACCTTGCCTTGTTGCAGCAGCAAAATAGCCTAAATGCTTATTCAGGCTAATACCGTGCAGCTGGCGGGCGCAGGCCCCCCTCTGCACTGGTGCTCTTGCTGCTGCCGACGCTGCTGCTGCTGCTGCTGCAGCTGCTGCTGCTGCTGCTGCAGTCGCAGCTACCGTTGGTGCTGCCATATCTGACACCTTCCGTTGAATTACTGTACTTTAAGTTCTTTCAAGCAGCAGCAGAAGAGCAGCAGCAGCAGAAGAGCAGCAGCAGCAGCAGCAGCAGCAGCAGCAGCAGTAGTTGAGGCCCCTGGGGGCCCCCGGCTGCCTGGGCTCGCGCTGCAGCAGCTTCAGTCTAGACAAATAATCATAAAAGCTGATTTATTTTGAATTAAATGACTTATTTTGGTTTTTAATTTATTATTTATTTAATTTTAAGTAAATATGCAGCAGCAGCAGCAGCAGCAGTAGCAGCGCTGCATGCAGCTGTCGCTCGACGGGGCTGCTGCAGCCCCACGGCGGACTCCGCAGCAGCAGCAGCAGCAGCAGCAAACAGCAACAGCTATTTGCTGCAGAAAACTAAAAAGCTTCTGCAAAGTGAGTGAGCACAAGTAGCAGCAGCAGAGGGAGCAGCAGGAGAAGAAGCCCGCTGCAGCAGCAACAACAACAGCCACAGCAGCAGCAGCAGCAGCAGCAGCAGCAGCAGAAGCAGCAACGCCGGTCGCAGCAAGCTGAAGGAAGGAAAAAGCAGCAGCTGCAGCAGAAATAGCGGCAGAAACAGCAGCAGCAGCAACAACAACAACAGCAGCAGCAGCAGCAGCAACAGCAGCAACAGCAGCAGCAGCAGCAGCAGCAGCAGCAGCAGCACCGAAAATGGATATCGACGATACGAACACCCAGCTGGAGCCTGTGACTTACATCTGTGGAGGCAAGCGAAAGCCCCAAACCCTAAACCCTAAACCCTAAACCCTAAACCCTAAACCCTAAACCCTAAGCCTGGTGCAAACCCTAAACCCTAAGCCCTCCGCAGTGAGCCAGTTGGCGCTGCAATTGCCAACCCCTAAACCCTAAACCCTAAACCCTAAACCCTTGCATGCATCTGTAGGGGAATTGTTTGAGGCGAAACCCTCGAGTCTCTAAACCCTAATTTGTTTCAGAGAAAAGAATTAAATAAATTTGAAATTAATTTCGGAATATAAATTTCTCTTCTGAAGTTCCTGTAAACCCTTCTTGGCTTGCTGCTGCTGCTGCTGCTGCTGCTGCTGCTGCTGCTGCTGCTGCTGCACTCTGGAAATGAAACGCGATCCTTTTGAATGAATTAATTAAAAGCAATTGAAATCAAATGTTTTAATTCAAAATTCCCTTTTGAGTTTGCTGCTCCTTCTGCTTCTTGCTGCTGCTGCTGCTGCTGCTGCTGCTGCTGCTGCTGCTGCTGCTGCTGCTGCTGCTGGGGGGTGTCTCGACACCGGGTGTCTTTGTTGCATTTCAACAAAAGTGAAAAAACAAATTCGGAATTATTTTCAATAAATAAAATTCAGCAAATTTAACCAAACAAACTCCTCTCCAAACCTTCTGCTGCTGCTGCTGCTGCTGCTGCTGCTGCTGCTGCTGCTGCTGCTGCTGCCGCTGCTGCTGCTGCTGCTGCTGCAGAGTGCGGCTGCGACGTTTCGCTGCAGCCAACAGCTGCTGTCCGCTGCCGCAGCTGCGGCAGCAGAATTCTCTACAAAAAAAGATCGCGAAAAAGTGAGAACTTTCAAATTTAAATAATTAAAAAAATAATTTAAATAATTGAAAAAGAATTAAATGATTTAAATAATTAAAAAGAATTAAATAATTTAAATAATTGAAAAGAATTAATTTAAATAATCAAAAAAGAATTAAATGATTTAAATAATTGAAAAGAATTAATTTAAATAATTAAAAAAGAATTAAATGATTTAAATAATTAAAAATAATTAAATAATTTAAATAATTAAAAAAGAATTAAATGATTTGAATAATTAAAAAGAAATAATTTAAATAATTAAAAAAGAATTAAATAATTTAAATAATTAAAAAGGAATTAAATAATTAAAAAGGAATTAAATAATTAAAAAGGAATTTAAATAATTGAAAGAAATTTAAAGAATTTAAATCATCAAAAAAGGGTTTAGAGGATTAAAAGAACAAAAAAGGGTTTAAAGGATTAAAGGAATTAAAAAAGAATTTGAGAGGGTTTAGAAGGGTTTGAGAGGGTTTAGAAGGGTTTAGAAGGGTTTGGGAGGGTTTGAAGGGTTTAAAAGGGTTTAGAAGGGTTTAAAAGGGTTTAAGAGGGTTTAGAAGGGTTTAAGAGAGTTTGAAGGGTTTAGAAGGGTTTAAAGGACTAAGAGGGTTTTAAAAGGGTTTAAAAATGGTTTTAAAGGGTTTGAGAAGGGTTTAGAAGGGTTTAGAGGACTGAAAGCGTTTTAAAAGGGTTTAGAAAGGGTTTTAAAGGGTTTGAGAAGGGTTTAGAAGGGTTTAAAGGACTAAAAGGGTTTTAAAAGGGTTTAGAAAGGGTTTGAAAAGGGTTTAGAAGGGTTTAGAAGGGTTTGAAAGGGTTTAGAAGAGTTTAGAAGGGTTTGAAAGGGTTTAGAAGGGTTTAGAGGACTAAAAGGCTTTTTAAAAGGGTTTAGAAAGAGTTTGAGAAGGGTTTAGAAGGGTTTAGAAGAGTTTGAGGGTTTGAAAGGGTTTGGAAGGGTTTGAAAGGGTTTAGAAGAGTTTGAGGGTTTGAAAGGGTTTAAAGGCGTTTAAAAGGGCTTAGTGGGGCTTAGAAGGGTTTTAAAAGGGTTTAGAGATTTCTCAAAAAGGCCTATAAGGGTTTAGGGTTTAGGGTTTAGAGGGTTTTAAAAGGGTTTGGGGGTTTTGAAAGGGTTTAGAAGGGTTTAGAGGGTTTTAAAAGGGTTTAGAGGGTTTCAAAAGGGTTTAGGAGGGTTTAGAGGGTTTTAAAAGGGTTTAGGAGATTTTTTCAGGGTTTAGAGGGTTTTAAAAGGGTTTGGGGGGTTTTAAAAGGGTTTAAAGGGTTTTAAAAGGGTTTAAAGGGTTTTAAAAGGGTTTGGGGGGTTTTGAAAGGGTTTAGAAGGGTTTAAAAAGGCTTAAAAGGGTTTGGGGATTTTAAAAGGGTTTAGAAGGGTTTAGAGGGTTTTAAAAGGGTTTAGGGGATTTTTTAAGGGTTTAGAAGGGTTTAGAGGGTTTTAAAAGGGTTTGGGGGTTTTAAAAGGGTTTAGAAGGGTTTAGAGGGTTTTAAAAGGGTTTAGAAGGGTTTTAGAAGGGTTTAGGAGGGTTTAGAGGGTTTTAAAAGGGTTTGGGGGTTTTAAAAGGGTTTAGAAGGTTTTAAAAGGGTTTGGGGGTTTTAAAAGGGTTTAGAAGGGTTTGAAAAGGATTAAAAGGGTTTAAAAGGGTTTAGAGGGTTTAGAAGGGTTTGAAAGAATTAAAAGGGAATTAAAAAATGAATTGCTTTTTATTCTTTTTAATTTCTTTTTTAATTTCTTTTAATTTCTTTTAATTCATTTTAATTTCTTTTAATTCTTTTAATTGGAAATAAAATAAATAATTAAATAATTCGAAAAGAATTAATTAATTAAAAGATGAATTAAAAGTAATTCCGAATTAAAAGAAATTAAAAAGAAGTCAAACGGCATTACAAGAAATAAACAATTGAAATAAAAATGAAATAATTAAATTAAAAAGAATTAAAAAAGAATTTAAAAAGAATTAAAAAAGAAATAAAATAAAAACAATTAAATTAAGTTTAATTTACTAGAAACAGAAATTAATTCTAAAAGTAATTAAATACGAAAGTTAAATTAAACTCAGAATTAAATTAAATTTAAAAACTAAATAAAATTAAAAAAGAAAATAAAACATTTAAGCTGCTGTTTTGAAGTCTTTTTATTTGCAGTGATGCAGTACGAAGCGAGATAAACCCACGAGCTGCTGCTGCTGCTGCTGCAGCAGCAGCAGCAGCAGAAGCTGCAGCAGCAGCAGCAGCAGAAGCTGCAGCAGCAGCAGCAGCAGAAGCTGCAGCAGCTGCAGAAGCAGGAGCTACAGCGAAAGCAGCAGCAGCAACAACAGCAGAAGCAGCCGCAGAAGCAGCAGCAGAAGCAGCAGCAGAAGTAGCAGCAGAAACGGCAGCAGAAGCAGCAGCAGAAGCAGCAGCAGAAGCAGCAGCAGAAGTTTGCTGCTGCAGCAGCCAGGTGGCGTGGCAGCAGTTCAGCTGCTGCTGTCTGCAGCAGCAGCAGCAGCAGCTGCTGCTGGTGCTGCAGCAGACACAATCCTGTCTGTTGTAGCAGGAGCAATCACGCTTGCTGCAGCAGCTGCTGCAGCAGCAGCAGCAGCAGCAGCAGCAGCAGCAGCAGCAGCAGCTCTAAAGCTTTTTTTTCTTTCCAGAATCCATTATGAACAAAAACCCAGAAGGACCCTTTTGCCATTTTATTCATTTACAATTCATTTGTTTTAATTTATTATTTATTTTATTTTTGTTTATTTGTTTTTTAATTATTAATTAATTATTCATTCATTTATTTATTTATTTATTATTTATTTATTTGTTTATTTATTTATTTATTTATTTATTCATTTCTTTTATTTCTTTAATCATTTTACAGTGCGATGTCTGGGCCTCTTCACTTGTCTTTTATTTCTTTTTCATTTTTATTTTTTAATTTTATTTTATTTATTTTAAAGTTTTTATTTATTTGTTTTATTTGCAGTTATACTTTTATTTCATTTTATTTCTTTTTATTTGTTTTAAATATCTTTTGTTTGTTTTTATTTTTTATTTTCGTTTATTCATTTCTTTTACTTTTAGTTTTAATTTAATTTTACTTTTTGTTTTTATTTTCTTAAATTGTTTTATTTTTGTTGCGTTCATTTGTTTGTCTCTCATTACCTTCACTTCGCTTATTTATTTTATTTTATTTATTTTATTTTATTTATTTTATTTATTTTATTATATTTTATTTTATTTATTTTATTTCATTTTGATTTATTTATTTTATTTTGTTTTATTTATTTTATTTTATTTATTATATTTTATTTTTGTATTTCTTCCTCCGTTTTCCATTTTTCGTTTTCAATTCTTTTATTCTTTTCTTCATTCTTCATTTCCTTCTTTTATTTCTCTTTCAGGAATTATTTTATTTAATTCTTTTAATTCTTTTGTTCAATTCTTTTTTTAATTCTTTTTTTTAATTCCTTTATTTAATTCTTTTATTTAATTCTTTTATTTAACTCTTTACTTCATTCTTATTTACATCTTTTATTAAATTCCCAAATTAAATCTTTTATTTAATTATTGTTTAGTTCTTTAACTATTTTATTTTGTTATTTTATTATTTTATTTATATCTGATTTATTTTAATTATTTCGCTTTATTTATTTATTTTTAATTCTTGATTTCATTTAATTTATTTATTTATTTAATTCTGTTTTTTTCGATTTATTTTTTAAGTCTTTTATTCGTTCAAATTCAATTTTATTTTTTCGTTTTCGTATTTTGAGTTCTGCCACTTCTTTATTTTAAATTCGAATTTAAATTTAAATTTAAATTTAAATTTTATTTTTATTTTATTTCTTTTATAATTATTTCATTATTTATCTTTTCCAGTCAGTTCAATTTTTATAAGTGATTTTTTTGAATTCTTTTTTGAATTCTTTCATTACTTTATTTTCATTTTTATTTTATTTTATTTATTTTATTTCTTTTACTAAATTTTAATTTTATTTCCTTTTTCTTCTTTTATTTCCGCGTTTTTCTTTCGCTTTAATCCTTTAATTTTTTAAATTCATTTCTTTCATTATTTCCTTTCAATTTTATATCTGTTGAATTCTTTTTTAATTCCATTTAATTCTTTTTGTAATTCCTTTAAATTCTTTTTTAATTTCTTTTAGGTTCTTTTTTAATTCTCTTTTTAATTCGTTTTAATTTGTTTTTTGAGTCTTTTAAATCTTTTCAATTCTTCTTTTAAATCTTCTTTTTAATTATTTTAATTTCATTTAATTCTTCTTTTGAATCTTTTTAATTCTTATCTTATTTTGAATTCTTCTTTTTACTTCTTCTTCCTTTCCATTCTTTTCATTTCATTTCTTCTTTTTAATTCTTTTTTGATTCTTCTTTTAATTCTTTTATTCTTTTTAATCCTTCATTTTAATTCTTTTCTAATTCTTCTTTTCTTTCTTTTCTTTGAAGTCTTTTCCTGAATTCTTCCTTTCCAGAAACTCCAATTCCAATTCTTTTATTTCTTCTTTTTCTTTTTTTTAATTCTTCTCTTTAATTCCTTTTCAATTCTTTTATTTTCTTTTTTTATTTTTCCTCTTTCAGACTTTTCTTTTTGTTTTTAATTCTGCAGATCGATGGCCATTAAGAAATGAAATGATTTGCATAAAATGAATTTAAAAGAATAAAATTAAATTGCACAAATTAAAAATAAGTTGTTTGAATAAAGTGGCAAAATATTTTCGATTAAATGGCATTTAGAGGTTTAAAAAAATGGTCTTATTTGCAAAAACGTTTTGAATTAAATGGCATTAGTTCAGTGAATTGGCCCGATTGAATGAAATGGCATAATTAAATAAATTGCAATTATTTAAATAAATGGAATTTTTAAAATTAAAACATTAAAATGGCATTTTAAAAATTAAAACATTTAAATATTCTCTTCAGCAGCTGCAGCTCCGCCGCTTCACAGCTGCAGGTCTTCAACTGCGTAGATCTTGAGCGGCCCGCCGCCGCCGCCGCCGCTGCTGCTGCTGCTGCTGCTGCTGCTGCTCGACGACGACGACGAGCTGCTGCTGCTGCTGACGGTGACTCTGAGGGAACCCAGAAACTCCTCTTCGGCCACGACGCTGCCGCAAAAAAAGCTGTCAGTGTCTTCGCTGCCTCGGGGAGAGTCGAGGGCCCCCCGGGCTTCTCTGAGGGCCCCCGCGTGGTGCCGCAGCAGCGCGGGCAGGGGGGGGGCCCCCCGGGCTGCTGCTGCTGCTGCTGCTGCTGCTGCTGCTGCGCGCAGCTCAGGGAGGGACATGCGGGGACCCGGCGGCTCCCCGGGCAGGCAAGGGGGAGGCAAGCTGAAGAGCTGCTGCTGCTGCTGCTGCTGCAGCAGCAGCAGCTGCTGCTGCTGCTGCCGGCCGTACTGGGGGCCCAGCAAGAATGCGCCCTTCTCCAGCTGATGGAGCGCAGCGTGCAGAGTTGGAATCGTCTCGATGTGGCACTGCCTCTTGAAGGGGCAGGGGTGCAGGTCCAGGAGCTCAGCCGAAGCAGCGCAGCAGCAGCAGCAGCAGCAGCAGCAGCAGCAGCAGCAGCAGCAGCAGCAGCAGCAGCAGCAGCAGGGGCTCTTTCAAAGGCTCGTTCAGTCGAGGAAGACGCAAAGCCCTCTTACCGTCCGGTCGCGCAGCCGCACCAGCCACCGCCGCAGCTGCAAATAGACGAAGTAAGAGCAAAAGCGCGGCTGCTGCTGCTCTCGCGCCTGCAGCAGCAGCTTCTGGACGAGCCTGGCCAGAGTTTGGATTTTCTCTGCGTAGCGGCAGGGCTTGCACAGCGTGGCAGCGAGGCCCTCCTCCCCTGCTGCTGCTGCTGCTGCTGCTGCTGCTGCTGCTGGTGCTGCTTCGCCTGCTGCTGCTGCTGCTGCTGCTGCTGCTGCTGCTTGCGGGCCTGAGGCGGCGCCCTCAGCCTTCTCCATTCTTGCTATTGTTTCTTCAAACCAGTTTATTGTCGAATAGCCCAAAACCCGCATCAGACGGCCCCCGCAGTAGACGTCCTGAAGAGGGGCGGAAATTGAATGGTTTGCGTTTTGAAAAGTTGAAAAAGGAGTTTTAAGATCATTAAATGGTTTATGTTCTTTTTAAAACTATTTTAAATGCTTTATTTTAGTTAAAGAAAGCCTGGAAAGGAGAAAATGAAAAAGTTTATTTCCTTTGAAACATGGAGGAAAGTTGAACTCTCGATGTTTCATTTGCGGCAGGGACAAACACAATTAGAAAAGCGGAAATAATTGAGAATTGAGAAATAAGAAAATGAAATTTTAAATTTATTTGAAAGGAATTAATCAGAAAACTCAAAGTCATTAGGCATTCAATTAGATCAGAGGGAAATTATTGGAAAGCTGAAGAAGTTCAACTCTCATTTCATCAAAAAAGAAAAAACCAGAAAATTCAAAAAGATTAAAAAAGAATGGAATTAATTAATTTTAAAAATTAATTAGACTGATACGAATTAAGTTGGAGGAAAACGATAATTCAATTTAAGACTTCGCGTCATTTCAAGTTCAAGAAGAACACGTTCAGAAGAGTGAAACGTTCGATTAGAGAGAATTTAAGAAAAGATCAAATAATTGATTTAATTAATTAAATTAATTAAATTAATTAAATTAATTTAATTAAATTAATTGAATTAATTCACAAAAGCAGCCAGTAGAATGAAGAATATCAGGCATTTAGAAATTTGAACGAAGAGAATGAAAGATTCCGAATTTTGCAAAATTGAAAAGATATCAAAAAGTTGTTATTTGCTGCTGCTGCTGCACTTACTGTGTAAAACTGCTCCGGAGGCACTCGAATAAGAGTGAGTTCTTTGTCTTGCAAAAGTGCAGAAGTTCTGAAAAGGATTTCTTTTGGATTTAAAGGAAGGGCATTTCCGTGGCGCGGGGAAAGTTCTGCTGCTCTGGGGTGCCACTTGTTGCGGCCGTCTTCCTCCTCGTCCTCGTGCTGCTGCTGCTGCAGCTGGTGGTGCCGGTAGAAGCCCAGGTGGCTGTACGGGCAGGCCGACAGCATGCAGTAGCCGTCTCGGGAGAGCAGTGGGCACGGCGCTGCTGCTGCTGCTGCTGCCGCTGCTGCTGCTGCTGCTGCTGCTGCAGAGATGGGCGGCGGCAGCAGCAGCGGGGGCGGCGAGGCCAGGGACTCGAATTCTTTTGCGTAGTAGCCTTGAATGCACAGCACTTGTTGGCTCAGGGCTTGGAAGATTGTGTTGTTCTGCAAACCTGGGGGGCCTCCGGGGGGGCCCCTGGGGCCTGCAGCGTCTCCAGGGCTTTCGCCTTCGCTGCTGCTGTCGCTCCACCCGGCAGCCCCTTGCATTGTGCTGGGGGAGGGGGCTGGTTTCGTCGCTTCTGCTGCTGCTGCTGCTGCTGCTGCCGCTGCTGCTGTTGCTGTTGTCGTTTCTGGGGGGTCTTCTGCTGGCGGTGGTGCTGCTGCTGCTGCTGGTTCGCTGCCGCTGGTTTCCTCTGACAGCCACAAGAGGCGATCCCGGTTTCTGGGGGCCCTGGGAGGACTCAAAGGGCCGCTGACGCCGCAGTCGAATTCGCCGGGAATGTGCAGAAGGAAGGTGGAGGGGGAAAGCCGGCGTCTTCGTCTTCGCCGGGAGTTCCGTTCTGCCATTCTGGTGAAAAGGCGAAGTGCGGTGTTCGCGTTTGAGGAAAGCGCGAGAAGTGGAAAGCGAAGAGCAATTTGCAAACGAATCAAGTGCGATATAAGCGATAAACGAACAAGAAATGAAACAACTTGCGCAGTTCAACTTTTAAAATTCAAGTTCTGCACGGCTGTGCAAAACGGAAAGCTGGAGCCTGTTGGGGTGTACGTGCTCCCGGTTCAATTCAAGTTTCGGGGGAATCTTCGGGAAAGTTGAGTCGTCTGTTTTCGTTTCTTCTCGTTTTTATTAGATAAAGCGAAAAGAAGTTTCTACTTTGTCCCCTGGAGTTCCTGGAATAAGTTGGAGGCGCTGAGTGTTGAATTTGCAAAAGTGGCGACTGGAGGAAACTGGAAACTTGCGTTTCGGCGTCTACGGCGGGCGTTTATGCTTTCTGTTTCTCTGAAATCGTGAAACAAAGGATTGAGTTTCGTCTTTGTTTCAATTAATTAAACAGAATCAATTAATCAACTGATGAGTTGATTGCGATTCCTGCACCGGCCTCTTGCGCGTGCCAAAAGCCGCTGCGAAAGTGCAGGCGGCTAAGCGCGGCGCTTAGACGCTGCTGCGCAGCACTGCAACAGCAGCAGTAGCAACAGCAGCAGCAGCAGCTGCAGCAGCTGCTGCTGCTGCAGCAGCTGCTGCTGCTGCTGTTGCTGCAGCAGGCCTCGTGCGCTGAAATATCGCAGGGCGTTTCTTGGGGCTCTTTTGAGTGCGGCCCGAAACGCTGGAAATGTATTTACATTCACAACAGGAATGGAAGATGTTCATGAAGTATGAATTAGCATTCGAACTTGAATTATAAATAGAGAATTTAGGAGAAGCAATACGTGTATTCGCCCCTAAGCGGGCGGCTGGATGCGTGCAGTTGCCTGCAAAATGCAAGTAGAAACTGCAGCAGCAGCTGCTGCTGCTGCCCTTGCTGCTGCTGCTGCTGCTGCTGCTGCTGCAGCAGCAGCAGCAAGACAAAAGCCCGGCCTTGAAATAGTCGTTTGCAGTTCCAAACCCCTTGAACCGAACCGGGAGCCCAAACCAACGCACAAACAGCGCCCCAGCCACCGCAGCAGCAGCAGCAGCAGCAGCAGCAGCAGCAGCAGCTCACTGCTGCTGCTGCGGGGGCTGCCGCTTGTCCGCGGCCTGGGCCTGGATGTACTTGGTGCGCGGGTAGTACTTGGCGAGGAGCTGCTGCTGGATCTTCTTGAGCATGTCTTCGGGAAAAGTCCGCAGCAGCTCCCAGGCGATGTCCAGACTTTGGAAGACGTCGCGGCCCTCGTAAGGACCTTGCTGCAGAAAGCGGCGTTCGAACTTGTCAGTGAATTCCATGTAAAGCATATCGTCGGCTGACAGCGCCTCCTCCCCCACCACCGCCTTCATCGCCCGCGTGTCTTGGCCAATTGCGTAGTTCGCGTACAACTGCAGCACAAATCATACTCCTCCTGCTGCTGCTGCTGCTGCTGCTGCTGTTATGCGGTAGCAGCAGCAGCAGCACGTGCGCGCAACTCGCAGCACTACTTCGATTTCGATCTCTACCAATATTGCTGCTGCTGCGCTGCTGCTAACGCAGCAGCGCAGCAGCAGCAGCAGCAGCAGCAGCACCGCATCACCGCAGCAGCAGCAGCAGCAGCAGCAGCACGGCATCACCGCAGCAGCAGGAGCTACTCACCTGATCGGAAACAGCAGGATGATCATCCCGAGTCATGCCGTGTCCAATGCCGCTCTTCATGAGCCTCGAAAGAGAAGGAAGAACATTAATTGGAGGGTAAATTTGCCTGTTATGAAGAGCTCTGTCCACGAAGATCTGCCCCTCTGTGATGTACCCCGTCAAGTCCGGCACGGGGTGAGTGATGTCGTCGTTGGGCATCGTCAAGATCGGAAACTGCGTGACGGAGCCGCCGCGGCCTTCGACGCGGCCCGCGCGCTCGTAAATCGAAGACAAGTCCGTGTAGAGGTAGCCGGGGTAGCCTCTTCTTCCCGGGACTTCTTCTCTGGCGGCTGAGACCTCTCTAAGAGCATCTGCATACGCCGCCATGTCAGTGAGGATTACAAAGACATGCATTTCCTTTTCAAAAGCCAAGAACTCCGCTGCTGTTAGAGCTAATCTCGGAGTCACTATCCGCTCTATGGTGGGGTCGTTGGCCAAGTTCAAGAAGAGGCAAACTCTTTCCATGCTTCCGTTTTCCTCGAAGTCCCGCCGGAAGAACCGCGCGGTCTCCACGTTGACTCCCATGGCGCCGAAGACCACTGCGAAGTTGTCTTGGGAGTGGTCTTTGACATCTTTTCCCGCAACGAGGCTGGCTTGTCTGCAGATCTGCGCCCCGATCTCATTATGAGGAAGGCCTGCAGCAGAGAAGAGGGGGATCTTCTGGCCGCGGACTATGCTGTTCATCACGTCTATGGCACTCAGCCCAGTCTGGATCATCTCGCGGGGGAAGACGCGGCACTGCGGGTTTATCGGAAATCCGTTCAAGTCCAAAAAGTCCTCCGCCAACACGGGGGGCCCCCTGTCCACGGCGCGGCCGCTGCCGTCGAAGGCCCGCCCCAGCAGCTCTTCGCTCACGCCCATCTTCAGCACGTCGCCGCTGAACTCCGCGTGGCAACGCCGGTTGTCGATCCCCGCTGTGCCCTCAAACACCTGCACCACCGCCCGCCGACCCTTCACCTCCAACACCTGCAGCAGCAGCAGCAGCAGCAAAGCAGCAGCCAAGCAGCAGCAGCAAGGAGACGCGGATTCCTTAAACCGGCTCGAGAAGGCGCTTCCAACGAGGGGCTGCAAGGGGGGGGCAGCAACAGCAGCAGCAGCAGCAGCGGAGCAGCAGCAGCAGCAGCAGCAGCAGAAAAGAGGCACGCAGTCGGCGGAGACGCCGCGGGGCTTCCATTTGCGCAAAGCACTGGCACCGGCTTGCGAAGGCGGTTCCAACGAGGGGCTGCAAGGGGGGTCCAGCAGCAGCAGCAGCAGCAGCAGCAGCAGCAGCAGCAGCAGCAGCAGCAGCAGGACCTGGCCCTCGCGGGTGCTGCCGTCGCCGAGGTGGACAGTGACGATCTCGGAGTACTTGGGGAACTTGACGTCGTCGAGGATCACCAGCGGCCCCTCCACTGCAGCAACTGTGCGGTAGTCCAGCCGCGGGGCCACGCGGTAGTCCCGCGTTGCTGCCAGCACATGTTCGCGTGCTGCTGCTGCTCGGCTGGCAGCAGCAGCGGCGCCCCCGGGGCCCTGGGCGCTCGCGGAGGGGGCCATTCTGCGGCACCGCGGCGTCTGCAGCAGCAGCAGCAGCAGCAGCAGCAGCAGCAGCAGCAGCAGCAGCAGCGGCGGCGGCAGCAGCACGCAGCAGCCCGCGGACACTTCCGGCGACTCCAAGCGGCAACCACAACTTTGCAATTGCTTCCGACTTTAATAAAGGCTTTGCAACCCACCCAGCGCGACGCAGCGCAACACCGGCTTGTTGGGGCTGACTGCTGCTGCTGCTGCTGCTGCTGCTGCTGCTGCTGCTGCTGCTGCTGCTGGCGACCGCAGCAGCAGCCGCTCCTGCTGATCGGCTGCTGCTGCCTCACCGCGCGCTTCTCCGCAGTTCCTCAGCCTCTAGTTTTTATCTTTTTCCACTTTCCAAGCCACACACTCAGATTCTAAGAGCCACCAATTCCGAGCCTTGCTGCTGCAGCAAGAAGCAGCCAGCAGCAACGAGCAGCAGCAACGAGCAGCAGCAACTGCAGCCAACGCAGCACGCTATAGGATTCCAAACCCCAATTTTATTTCCATTTAACAAAACAAATATTACACCCGTTGCTTTAGCTTCGAAACGGCTATACAGCAACAAACAACAACAGCAGCAGCAGCAGCAGCAGCAGCAGCAGCAGCAGCAGCAGCAGCCGACATATACACACGTTCCCAACATGCACACCTCCACTGGAACGAAACTTCAAAGAGGCTGGTGTTTATTAATTGAATTCTTTTTGTTTATTTTATTTCTTTTTATTTTTTAATTCTTTTTTATTTTCTTTTCTTCAAATCAATTCCAAGTCCACAGCTGCCGCCCCCAGACAGAGCAGCAGCAAACGGCTCGGCGGCAGCAGCCAGCTCCGCTGCTGCAGTTAATTTCCTCCACTTCAGTTTAATTAATTCTTTTTAATATTTCCAACAATAATAACAATGCAGACTTGTGCGCTGCTGCTGCTGCTGCTGCTGCTGCAGCTGCTGCTGTTGCCACAGCAGCTGCTGCTGCAGCTGCATCAGAAACCCCACGGCCCGCCGCAGGCAGGCAACGCCGACTAGCTAGCCACGGCTAGCTGCGGCTAGCCACGCAAATAGCTGCAGCAAGCCATGCAGCTAGCCACGCAGCTAGCTCCATGGCTAGCCGCCGAGACAGCTAGCCACAGAGCTAGTTGCAGCTAGCTACAGAGCTACTCCCAGCCAGCGGAGGCTTGCCGCAGCTAGCTGGCTGCAGCTAGCTAGCCCTAACTAGCGGGCTAGCCGCAATTAGCTAGCTAGCTACGGCTAGCTAGCTAGCCGTAGCCAGCTAGCTAGCCGTAGCTAGCTAGCCAGCCGTAGCTAGCTAGCTGGCCGTAGCCAGCTAGCTAGCCGTAGCTAGCTAGCTAGCCGTAGCCAGCTAGCTTGCCGCAGCTACGGCTAGCTGGCTGTAGCCAGCTAGCTAGCCGTAGCTAGCTAGCTAGCCGTAGCCAGCTAGCTAGCCGTAGCTAGCTAGCCGAAAGGCCGGAAGCCAACATTGAGAAATGGCGGAGCCAGTGGGGGCGAGCAGGTGCACGTACACCGCAGATGCAGGCAGACGCAGCACATGTGCAAAGGAGTTTAGAAGCAACTTTGGATTTAAATTGAGCATTTAAGTTCAAATAAAAATAAAAAGTTGAAAATATTTTAAATTATATTTTTAAATATCTTTAAATGGGCTTTTAAAGCCCAGAATTGCATGCAGTTGGAAGAATTGCATTTACCCACGCAGCAGCCAGCCAGCTCCAGTGTACGTACACCCGAAAACAGCAGCAAGAAAATCAGGCAGCTGCTGGTGCAGCAGCAGCTGAATGTGAAAGGTCTTCTTAATGCAAAGAGATGCCCATTATGGATGGCTAGCCAGCTAGCTAGCTAGCTAGCTAGCTAGCCAGTTGCAGAGCTATCTGGCTAGCTAGCTGGCTAGTTAGCTGGCAAGTTGGCTGGATAGCTGGCTGGCTAGCTAGCTAGCTGGCTAGCTAGCTAGCTGGCTAGCTAGCCAGCCAGCTAGCTGGCTAGCTAGCTGGCTGGATAGTTGGCTAGCTAGCTAGCTAGCCGCGGTTAGCTGAGCAGAGAGCTGCAGCTGGCTGCAGCAGCTTGCTGCAGTGAACAGCAGCAGCTAGCAGCAGCAGTTAGCTGCTGCTGCAGCCAAGCCACCGGAGCATTCAATTTGCCGCTGCAGTGCAGCTGCTGCAGCTGCTGCAGCGCAGCTGCTGCAGCTGCTGCAGCGCAGCTGCTGCAGCTGCTGCAGCTACTGCAGCTGCTGCAGCTGCAGCCTGCTGCTGCTGTGTGAGGGTTAAGGGTTTGGCGAGGGCCCGCAGCTAGGGTTTAGACTTGTCGAGGGTTTAGGGTTTAGGGTTTACGCCGCACGAAGATAAGATCCGTTTCAAACAAGGGTGCGCTGCCTACGTAAACAACAGCAGCAGCAGCAGCAGCAAGGAAGGCCTGCTGCTGCTGCTGCTGCTGCTGCTGCTAGCCAACGCCGATTTTTCGTTTTCTCTCTTCGAGTCTGCTGCGCTGCTGCTGCTGCTGCTGCTGCACTGCATCAGCAAGGGCCGATTTGTCCTGCAGCCAGGCGCGGACAAAGCCGTGGTGTCTGAACACCTCAGTGCTTTCCAGCGACACCTGCTGCTGCTGCTGCTGCTGCTGCTGCTGCTGCTGCTGCTGCTGCTGGGGGCGATCGGCCAGCTCTTCAGCTGCTGACGCAGCAGCGGAAGGCAGCGGCTGCAAACGAGCCATCTTGATGCCTCTGCTGCTGCCGCTGCTGCCGCTGCTGCTGCTGCTGCTGCTGCTGCTGCTGTTGCTGCTGCTGCTGCTGTCTAAACCGAAATCCGCAGCAATGCCCAGGAACTCTGAAGCACAGCAGCAGCAGCAGCAGCAGGAGCAGCATGGTTGAGAGACAACTGAGCAACAGAGACAAGACAGCAGCAGCAGCAGGACAGCAGCAGAAGCAGCAGCAGCAGAAGCAGCAGCAGAAGCAACAGCAGGACAGCAGCAGAAGCAGCAGCAGCAGAAGCAGCAGCAGCAGCATTACCGGGAGGTTCATCTTCTGCATCCAGCAGCAGCTGCTGCTGCTGCCCCTGCTCGTGCTGCAGCTGCTGCCGCTTCAGCTCTTGCAGCAGCTGCTCCGTCTGCAGCTGCATGCTTCTGCTTCTCTGTGCTGCTGCGGGTCCGCTGCTGCTGCTGCTGCTGCTGCTGCTGCTGCTGCTGCTGGGCAGCACCCCAATAAGGGGGTCTCGCAGCACAAACAGCCAAGTGTTATCCGACCATTCTGCTGCTGCTGCTGCTGCTCCGATGTTGGAGTGTCTGTACACCTCAAGGTGAGACACAATCACCAGCGACGGCAAACTGCTGCTGCGCTGCAGCACCAGCCGCAGCAGCTCCTGAGCCCACACAAACCCTAAACCCTAAACCCTAAACCCTAAACCCTAAACCCTAAACCCTAAACCCTAAGCCCTATAAGGCGCGGAAACGCCCCGTGGAAGAAATGCAGCGCTCGTCTGAACTGGCAGCAAAAACGGCAGCGGCAGCAGCAGCAACAGAAGCATGCGGCAGCAGCAGCAGCAGCAGCAGCAGCTGCAGCAGCAGCAGTTGCAGCAGCAGAAGACGCAGAAGCCGCGGCAACATAAAAAAGAGCAGCAGTACCAGCTGCAGCAGCAGAGGCCGCAGAAGCTGTGGCAACATATAAAACAGCAGTGGTATAAGCAGCAGCAGCAGCAGCAGCAGCAGCAGCAGCAGCAGCAGCAGCAGCAGCAGCAGCAACAGCAGCAGCAGCAACAGCAGCAGCAAAAGGACCTGTTTGGCTATGGTTAGGATCTTCTGCGCTGTTTCTCTCCTCACGAAAGCAGCAGCACTGAGACGCCCCAGAGCTTCCTAAGCAAACACACTCACAGCAAGCAGCAGCAGCAGCATCGCAGCAGCAGCAGCAGCAGCATTGCAGCAGCAGCAGCAGCATTGCAGCAGCAGCAGCAGCACTGCAGCAGCCGCTGCAGCTACAGCAGCAGCGAGAGCGCAGCACTGAGGCAGCAGCAGCAGCAGCAGCCCGAGTGCAGCGATGAGGCGGCGGCAGCAGCAGCAGCAGCTACAGTGCAGCAATGAGGCAGCAGCAGCAGCAGCAGCGTGAGTTCAGCACTCAGGCAGCAGCAGCAGCAGCAGCAGCAGCAGCAGCCGGACTGACGTTGAGGGCCTGAAGCAACAGGCAGCCATCGAAGGAGGAAGCCGGCTGGCTGCAAAGAGGACGAGAAGCCATTTTAGCTGCTGCTGCTGCTGCTGCTGCTGCTGCTGCTGCTGCTGCTGACGATGGTAATGCTCTTGCTGCTGCGGCTGCTGCTCTTGACAGTGCAGAGGCTGCTGCGGCTGCTGCTGCAGATGCTGCTGCTGTGTTGCCGACAGCCGTTTCGCCCGCAGCAGCAGCAGCAGCAGCAGCAGCAGCAGCAGCAGCAAGGGCTGTCTTCAGCTCTACTGCTGCGTTGTTTTGCTGCAGGCTGGCCTAATGCCTTGCGAGGTAGAGGCAGCGGGTGCTTCAGTACATTTGCTGCTGCTGCTGGGTTGCTGCTGCTGCTGTTGCTGCTGCTGCTGTTCTTGCTGCTGCTGCTGCTGTCGTCGCTGCAGCTGCTGCTGTTTGCAGCAGCACGCAGGCCCCCCCCAATCTGGAAAGTTAAGAAAAGAATATTAAAAGGTATCTGGAGAGATTTCAGGGGGCTACGCTGCACAAGTTGCTGCTGCTGCATGCAGTTGCAGGCAGCAGCAGCAGCAGCAGCAGAAGCAGCAACCGCAGCAGCAGCTTGTTGCTGCAGCTGTTAGTAAAGCCGATACGGGCGGACTCACCCACTAAATGAAATAAGACAATTTATGATTTTTTGTTACTTTCTGCTGCTGGAGTTAATGCTTTGCAGCAGCAGCAGCAGCAGCAGCAGCAGCAGCAGCAACAGAGGCTACAAGACGAGCCCCCCATGTCGGCAGCAGTAAGGCGCTGCTGCTGCTGCCTTGCCTTTTGCTGCAGCTGCCGCATTCCGCTAAGCAGCAGCAGCAGCACCATCAGCAACAGCAGCAGCTGCTGCTGCACCGGGTGTGACAGCGGCAGCAGCAGCCGCAGCCGCAAAAAGCCAGCAGCAGCAGCAGCAGCAGCAGCAGCACGGGGGCGCCAGCCCTGCCTCTTGCTGCTGCAGTTGCTCGGCACCAGCAGCAGCAGTAGCAGCAGCAGCAGCAGCAACAGCAGCAACGGTGATGCAGCAACTGCCGCTGCAGCGGCATGACCGCAGGAGTGACTGTGCCGCTCTGGGTCTTGCAGCAGCAGCAGCAGCAGGAGCAGCAGCACTAACAGAAGCAGCAGCAGCAGCACCAGCAGTAGCAGCAGCAGCACTGCCACCAGCTGTAGCAGCAGCCGCAGCAAGCGGCGCTGCTGCAGCACGAGCCTCTCGCCCTCCGCGCAGCAGCTTCACCAAGCAGCTAGCAGCAGCAGCAAAAGATGCGGAACAGCTCCTTGCTGCTGCTGCAGCAAGAAGGGCCGCAGCACAAAAGCTGCTGCCATGCCTTTCCGAGCAGCAGCAGCAGCAGCAGCAGCAGCAGCAGCAGCAGCAGCAGCAGCGTCGAACGCGCCACTCCTGCAGCCCTGTGACGGTAGGAGCAGCAGCAGCAGCAGCAGCACGTGCTGCAGCAGCAGATGACTACGCAGCAGCTGACAGCCGGAGGAGGAGGAGTGCAGGGATGGCTGCAGCAGCAGCAACAGCAGCAGAAGCAGCAGCAGCAGCAGCGGCAGCAGCAGCACGGTCAGATTCCATCTTGCTGGAGCAGCTCGCAGAGCGGCAGCAAAAGCTGCTGGAAAGGCAGCAGCTGCTGCTGCAGCGGCAGCAGCAGCAGCAGCACCGCATGCTTCTGCGTAAGAGGGACGCCTTCAATGAGCAGCAGCAGCAGCAGCAGCAACACCAGCAGCAGCAACAGCGCGAGCAGCAGCAGCAGCAGCTAGGCTGGGCATGGCAGCAGCACCTCGGCACAGCCTCATACCTGCAGCAGCAGCAGCAGCAGCAGCAGCAGCAAACTCCTGGATTGTACTGCTACGAAGAGTCGCATGCCCTAGGAGTTAAGCAGCATATGCTGCAGCAGCAGCAGCAGCAGCAGCTTCACGGGTGGGCCCCCAGCAGCAGCAGTAGCCGCAGCACCAACAGCAACAGCAGCAGCAGCAGCAACAGCAGCAGCAGGAGACCCTGGGACTCCAGCTGCTGGCGCATGCACGGCTGCAGCAGCAGCAAACGCTGCAGCAGCAGCAACAGCGTGGTGCTGCTGACAGAGCCTTCTACCAGGGCAGAGTTAAGTCCAGCAGCAGCAGCAGCAGCAGCAAGTGCTGCTGCAGCTTTCTGCGGCCATAGTGTGGCCTGCAGCCCTGGAGAGACACCAGCAGCAGCAGCAGCAACAGCAGCAGCAGCAGCAGCAGACAGGACGCCTGGAGGCCGCCACCACCGCAGCAGCAGCAGCAGCAGAAACGGGAGAGATAGCAGCAGCCCGCTTAGTGCTGCTGCTGCTGCATACTTTGCTGCAGCTGCGGCAGATGATACAGCAGCTGCAGCAGCTTCAACCCCACCGACGGATTCAGCAGCAGCAGCAGCAGCAGCAGCAGCAGCAGCAGCAGCAACAGGGACGACACCCGCTAGCAGCAGCAGGACGCGACTGATAATCAAGCGCAGTCACCTTCCTGCTGCTGCTTCTGCTGCTGCTCCTGGTCCCCCTTCTGCTGCTGCTGCAGCTGCTGCTGCTGCACCTTCTGCAGCACTCGATGCTCCTTCTGCTGCTGCATTAGCTGCAGAAGGGAGAGTGAAGAGAGCAGCAGCAGCTGCTGCTGCTGCTGCAACAGAGACAGCAGCAGCAGCCCTTCGGCTGCTGCCGTTCCTGATGCCTTTTAAAGAAGCACAGCAGCAGCAGCAGCAGCAGCAGCAGCAGCAGCAGCAGCAGCAGCCGTTAGATGAGCAGCAGAAGTGGGTGGATCGGCTGCAGGGAGTGCGGTCGCGCATCGCAGCTGCAGCAGCAAAAGAAACAGAAGCAGCAGCAGCAGCAGCACCAGGAGCAGCAGCAGCAGCAGCAGCAGCAGCAGCAGCAGCAGCAGAAGCCACTGTCTCAAATCTGCAAAGCCGCAGCCTCCAAATTGCTGCCTCTCTTCCACCGGAGGTGGGCTACTGCAGCGTGCAGTGCAGAGCCGTGTCTTTGGCTTTCCATCACCCCAGCTGACAGTTTGCTGCTGCATCTTGCTGCTTTGAGGGACTTCCCGCTGCTGCTGCAGCACATGCCGCAGGCGCATGCTGCTGCTGCTGCTGCTGCTGCTGCTGCTGCTGCTGCTGCTGCTGCTGAGAACACATCTGGAGCAGCAGCTCAGGACGGCATCTTCACTTCAGACAATAGTTGTGAGATTATGCTGCTGCAGCAGCAGCAGCAGCTCGGGGGATTCGTCAACAGCAGCAGCAGCAACAGCAGCAGCAGCAGCAGCAGCAGCAGCAGCAGCAGCGGGTGGATTTTGCTGTCGCTCTTTGATTTTCTCGTCGGCACAGGACTGCTCGCGTGTCTGCACGACCTGCTGCTGCGCTGCTGCTGCGCTGCAGCAGCAAACAACCTGCTGCAGCAGGTCCCTGGCAGCAAGCTGACGGGGGTGCTGCTGCTGCTGCTGCTGCGCCCCTACGCCCAGCGCCCGCAGCAGCAGCAGCAGCAGCAGCAGCTGCTGCTGCTGCAGCAAAAGAACAATGAGCTGGAGCTGCTGGAGTGGGAGCGTTGCTGCTGCTGCTACATTTTAAAGTGTCGGTATGACTCAGACATTTACTTTTGGCGGCTGCTGCTGCAGCAGCCGCTGCAGCAGCTGCTGCAGCAGCAAGACAAGCTGCTGCTGCGGCTGTGGGAAGAAGGCGCCGCCCAGTGGCACGCGCTGCTGCGCAGCAGCTGCAGCGCCTTCCGCAGCAGCAGCAGCAGCAGCAGCAGCAGCAGCAGCAGCAGCAGCAGCAGCAGCAGCGAGCCAGGGGAAGCTTCTGCTTCTGTTAGGAGACGGAGAAGGCATACCAGCAGCAGCCGCTCGGCCGAAATTGCTAGCCAGCAGCAGCAGCAGCAGCAGCAGCAGCAGCAGCAGCAGCAGCAAAATGTAGACTGGCAGCAGAAGCACCCAAGGACAAGAGGGCGCTTATCTGCTGCTGGGGATGCAACACCGAGTGCTCTGCCGCTGCAGTGGCGCCGCAGCAGCAGCAGCAACAGCAGCAGCAGCAGCAGCAGCAGCAGCAATTTCGAACAATATTTTGCGGCTACATCAGGGGCCCCTGAAGCGGACCCAGCAGCAGCAGCAGCAGCAGCTGACGCAGCAGCAGCAGCAGCTGCTGCTGCTGCTGACAGCGCTGCACGGCTCTCTTTGGGCCAGGAGAACATCTGCCCCCGCCGCTTGAATGCAGCAGCAGCAGCAACTGCAGCAGCAGCAGCAACTGCAGCAGCAGCAATTGCCAGCCCACCTTACTACGAAGGCGCTCGAGACCAGCAGCAGCAGCAGCAGCAGCAGCAGCAGCAGCAGTGGGCTGACTCGCAGCGTCCCCCAAAGCACCGGGTGTACATGCAGCAGCCATAAGCAGCAGCACGTGCTGCAGTCTGCTGCAGCAGCAGCAGCACGTGCTGCAGTCTGCTGCAGCAGCAGCAGCCGCAGCAGCAGCAGCTGCTGCTGCTGCTGCTGGCCTCGTTGCTGGAAGGTGCAGCAGCGCTTTAGCAGCCGAGCAGTTGTGTGCGCATTTGCTGCCGACATTTTATTTGTTCATTTCATCAACTTGGCGATAACAATTAGGGTTTAGGGTTTAGGGTTTGGGAGCTGGGATTTAGGGTTTAGGGTTTAGGGTTTAGGGTTTAGAGTTACGGCTGGCGGCTCTGAGTTGGGGAAGCGTCGCTAGTGTATATAGCTGCGGGTTAGGACTAGAGGTGTAGGGTTTAGGGTTTAGGGTTTAGAGTGTTGCATTCCCTCACTTCTGTGCATGGTGGGGCTATTTCTAGGAGTTCTAGGGTTTAGGGTTTAGGGTTTAGGGTTTAGGGTTTAGGGGAGGTGTACATCTTCTGGACCTGATCTGGGGTGTCTGCGCAGCTCAGCTGCCGGCGCGGGCGCTCGGGTGTCTCGACAGCGCCTGCTGCGGGCTGGGGAGTTTAAAATGGAATTAAATTGGAAATAAAATAAATTA